TTTAAGTGGGGAAGGACTTGGTCTATATTCATTCTTCAATATAAATTGAGGCCCCTCAAATGGGCAAGATACTGATTCGGGAGGAGGAGGATACACATTTTAATGGGTTAAAATTCCTACAGGATAGGGGAGACTAACAGAAAGATGGTGATTTCCATCTGGTCCTGTTTCAGGAGTGCAGACGTGTGGGTACCCCAGGCTGGTGAAGAGGCCAACCATGAAAACTATGAAAGAGAAGGCAGAAGAGAACAATACGGGTGAATACCTATGACATTTTGTATTATGACACTTCACATGCCTACTTATTATAACAACCTCGCAAGGTAGATGTGATCAATTCTATTTTATTGTTGAGGAACCTGAGACTCAGAGATGTTAAGTGACTGACTCAAAGTCACACAGCTCGTAAGCAGTGGAGCCAGGATTCAAACTGGGGTGTTTTTGACTTTAGAGCCAGGACGCCCCCCACCACTTAACAAGGGCTCTCTTAGCCATCCCTCACATCAGGAATGCGCCCCACTTCCCTCCTCAGATACCTGTTTCACAGAGGCATAGTCTCTCCGCGTTCCATCCCCACACCAGCCCCAGATGCTGAGGGCTGCCTGGGAGAGACTCACTCCCCTCCTCTCCTGTTTTCCGGCTCTGCCCTTCTGCCCAATCTGGGCTTCTCTCCCGCTGTGAAGGACACACACCTGCTGAGTGACACCAATTTGCAGACTTCTCAAGTGTCAATGAGATTTCTAATAGGACTGGCTTCCCACTGGCTTCGGGCACGGGTAGGGTAAAGGGAAATGTAAAAGACTGGAAGTGCGGAAGAATAGAGGCAGTCTGGAGGAGGAGAGGGAGCAGCAGAAGTGGAGGCAGCCACTGCCTCGGGGTAGAAGTGAAGGGCTGACTTGGTTTAGAGAGGTCAAGTGCCTTACCAAAGCTCACACAGCTAGCAACCGGAAGAGGGAGAATGAGCTCAGCTGATGGTTGCATTTTTAGCGTTCCCTAAAGGAGTACAATCCCCAACCAAACTTAAGTTTGTAACGTGCTTTAGTGTCCTCAGCTATACGAACGGAGGAGGGTGGGAATATACTTAGGAATAGGGAGGGCATTTGGATTTGTTGCTTGACAAATTAATCTCCGCTGAAACTGTCAACAATGTGACTCCGTGCTCACCTTAGGGCAAGGTACCCGCCCCCCCTCGCCCCAGGCAGAGGCATCAAAAAAGCCTGGGAGGCTGGGGGAGGCAGCTGATCCTTGTAATAATCCCAGCACTTTGGGAGGCGGAGGCGAGGCGGGCAGATCACCTGAGGTGTCGAGTTTAAGACCAGCCTGGCCAACATGGGAAAACCCTGTCTCTGCTAAAAATACAAAAAATTAGCTGGGCTGGTGGCATTTGCCTGTAATCCCAGCTAGTCGGAGGCTGAGGCACAAGAATCACTTGAACCCAGGAGGTGGAGGTTGCAGTGAGCCGAGACTGCCCCACTGCACTCAGCCCGGGACAGAGCAAGACTCTGTCTCAAAAAAAAAAAAGGCTGGGAAATGTTTCTTCTGATGACTCACTCTAATTGCATTTCTGCCACAGTGGGGGATGGCCCCCAAACACTGAGCTTTTTTTCCCTTGGCGACACCTCTGGTTGGAGCAGCACAGAGGGAAAAAATTCCATACATGCAAGTCCACTCACTCCCTCAGCTGTGGGGCAGGGACCTGACAAGCTCCGAGCTCAGGGGTGTCCTCTTTGCGGCCAGGTGCACCAAGCATCCGGAACCTCCGTCTCCAGAGCACGCCTCTTGGTGCCTGCTTACACTGTGGCTCTAGGGCCAGAGACAACGAGACCCTGAGCCCCGGGGTGTGGGGTCACCAGGTGCCTCCATTACAGGTGCCCCAAACTGGTTGTTGGGGGAATGAGTAATTAAGGAGGATTTTTCTCTCCCTGCCCTTCAGGCAGTGGTGTGGAATCAGCCCACTGCTCCTTGAAGACAGAGACCCTGCCCCGCTTCCCTGCTCACCCCGGAGTTTGTCCATGTTTCTGGAAGAAGCGTGTTCAGGGTTGCTACTTGAGGTGTTCTCTAGGAAACACAAAAGACACACAGAAAAAGGACACGTGGAAGGAGAACCAGAAAGGGGGGCTCCCCCCATGTCCCGCTCCCCGATGCGATGGCTGGCACCATTCGGGAGACTAGGATTTGTTGTTGAGCGCAGTAAGACAACAACAAAATCACAAGTCTTCCAGACGGGGCAGCCGGTCCACTCTGTATCCAGGCCAGCTCCGCAAGGCGTTCAGCACCCACCTCCCCTCCCCTCCCCTCGACACCCGGTCAGCGGTCTGGATGCTGCTGCCGGCCAGCGTTTGTCTCTCTCCCATTACCAAGGTCATCTCCTCTCAGCACCCCTCCCCACCTCAGAATTCCCCGGAGAAATTTCTTTTATCTTTTCCTTTTTTTCTGGAGTGTTCTACTTTCTGTAATAAACATAGTTGTTTTGTTTGGCTTTGTTTTGTTGAGACAGGGGCTTGCTCTGTCACCCAGGCTGTAGCGCGGTGGTGCAATCACGGCTGGCTGCGGCTTTAGCCTTCCAGATTCAAGTGATTCTTCCGCCTCAGCCTCCCTGGTAGCTGGGACTACAGCTGTTTTGTTTTGTTTTGTTTTGTTTTAGTAGAGACAAGGTCTTGCTATATTGCCCAGGCTGATCTCCAACTCCTGGGCTCAAGTGATCCTCCTGCCTCAGCCTCTCAAAGTGCTGGGATGATAGGCACCCAATTTGAACATACTTTCTTTACAAATAGGGAAATTTTATTTTTAAAGGGAAGCAGGCAGGTAGCTCATTTCTCTCTTTTCTTTACTAATCGTAAAGCGCAGAACTGCCACGGAGAAGGGAAAGAAGAGCTCAGAAAGGAGGACCCCTCTCTACCTCTGCCTCCGCTTTCTGGAAGTCTGGGGGCATGGCCCACGGTGCAAATTCTTCCAGTGTTTACTGAGTGCTGGGAGCACTGGAAGCACAGCTCAGAATGAAGTCAGAGTGGGGGTGCTGGGGTAAGCAGAGCAGAAAGAAAGCAACAGGGGAAATGGTTGTGGACAGGACGCTGGTGGAATCCCCTCCCCACAGGCCCAACGCTAGGCTCCCTGGTTAATTTCCCTTGCAGTGTGGCACTGGTGGAGGAGAGGCAAGTCCCTGCTGCCTGGCCCAGCCTCTAATTGCGCTGGCAGGGCACATCCGCTCCTTAATTAGCAAAAGCCACAATATCCTGGTGGCTCAGAGAGCACGGCCCTAATTGTATTTCTGCAATAACTGAAGGATAATTACCCTTCCCTATTGGTGCTGCTTTTAATTCTCTCTCTTTTTAATTGTGACTGCTTCTTCTTTAGCCCACCCTTCCATCCTTGGATTTATTCTCTGTGCCCAGAATAGGAGAGGGCTTGCCTGGTGATGGAGATGCTCAGGAGCAGTGCAGGGGGCATGGAGAAGACCAGCAGTACCCAGCTCTGAGTCCCAGCCCCTTCCAACTGTCAGCCTGAGACAGGGCACAGTTCTGCCATGGCCCTGAGGAAACCCAAGATGTTCTTTTGTGGAAGATGTAAGGGAGAGGTGTCCCTTCCCCAGAGGCTGTTAAGACCCTCTTCTGTCCATCCCCCAGTCAGGTGATGGCTCTGCAATTCCCAGCTGCAGAAAACTGAGACCTCCCTTCCCCATCCTTTAATCTATCAAGAAACAGAGATGGATTTGTGATCTTTAATTTCTTTTAAAATAATAATTTAAAAAAAATAGCCCTGTGTCTCTTTGCCACTGTTAAGAGAGAGTTAGCCCTTCATCCTTGTATTGTTTCAGAGGCAAGGACCTGAGTGTACCATTAGAGAACAATGCTAACTAAGGTAGCCCCTTGGTTAACGGGAGAGCTTAGCACCCTAGGTGTTTCCAGGAAAAACAGGCCTTTCTTAGGGAGCTGGCAAATAAGCTTCAAGAAGTAATAGATAAGCTAAAATGCAACACAAAGAGAGGTTGGAGAGAACCACAGCATCTCTCTTAACGTCGCCTTGTAGGACTCACCGATGTACCTACATGAGCAACCTGGCTCTAAAAAGCCACCACCCAGCCACTGCCCTACCAGAAGCTCACGATGAGAGCAGGGACTCTCGCTCATTATTCTTCCCAGTGCCTCGCACGCAGCCTGGCCCACGTTAGATGAAACTGGTTGGCAAACAAGCAAAGTTCAGAGGCAGAGTAGGATTGTGAGGCGTGAATAGGGTCAATCCATTTTCATTGGCTTTTTCCTTTCAGATCCAATGAAGGTGGACTTGAGCTGACTGTGGCCATAGTTTTCAAAATTCTTTAATTCTGAGCTCTATCTGAATTGGGAGAAGAGGCAAGCAACAAAAGAGGCTGCTATAGTCTCAAAGAAATAGATCTTGAAAAAATGACCTGCCCTTGAGCCCACCAACTTCCACTCCCCACTTCTAATTTCTCCTCTGAATTTAGAGCTGTTCCCTTAGCAACGCTTGTTTCCATGGTTTCTTCCATGACAATGATCCCCAAACCCCTCCTCTCTTTTACCTCATGACAGTAATGGGTGATGGGGATCCTCAGTGTGGCCACTCCATGTTACCATGGTAACAATTAACTGAGTCTTAATTTATCTTTTGTGAAGAGGGCTAGGGAATATGAAGCTTTTGATTTGGTGGGGGAGGGTTCAGGTCTAGAGCTACCGTTCTCATAAAGAAGAAGTTAAGGGATTTGTCCTAATACTAGCCAGTAGGATTTAGTTCAAACATTTGTTTAGCCCTACTTTAAGCACAACTGAGTTTGAGGGAATCAAAGGGGTACAAGACATAGCTCCTAATATTGAAGGGCTTATAGTCTAGCCCTAGGGCTCATTGTACCACTGAACTCTGGCACAGATGGGGCCGATAAAGTAAATGGCTCCTGATAGTACCGTCATGATCAGATACCTATCCACTTCCAGTATCCCCTCCAGCCAAAAGCCAAAAAAAGACTGACCGAAGCGGTCTGTACTCACAGTAAAGCTTCTTCCAGGCTGCTGTCAGAGAGTTTCCATCCTGAAAGGGAAAGAACTTTGACTCCCCCTCTTTTTAGGAAAGTAGGGACCAATGCCAGCAGCCCTGAGTAGGACTATTTGGTGCAGGGATAAAGAGAAAAAAAAAACAAATCTGCCCAACGCCAATGCTATGGACTGGGATGATCTCCAGTTCCAGGACTGCCGTCACCTACCTGCAACAAGTCTTCCTGGGATGCGATGAATCAGCTCTTACACTGAATTAGAGAGTCATTGTCTCCATCCATTCAGCTTCTCTGTTTGTCACTGAAAATTCAGGCGAAAGGCGCAGCTCTGAAGAATGAAAGTAGAAAAACAAACAAATAAAACATCAAAGTGGAGAAGAGGACACCGGATACCAAAGCTGAAAGCTGAGCAGAGTGAGTCCAAAAGCTGAGCTATCCATTCTGTGTCACAGGTAATGCAGCTCTTCCAAATTCTAGCTTTCCATCTTCATCCCCAAAAGTTTTCACCACATCTCTAATAATGAGGACCAATTCTCTACTTTTAGGGGAAATCACAAAATTTTCTGGACCCTGGTAACAATCACCTGCACTGACTTTGAAAGATAATCACAGTATCTCCCAAAATGAAGGGGAAAAAAGCTACAGGACAATGTAGATGGCAGGTATGTTGAAGTAAGCTATGAATAGATAGGTAGAAAAGGTCATCCTTGCAAGTCAATGCAATCTGGATTAGCCAAAGTCAATTCCAGATCCTGAGTCCAGGATTCTGTGTTCTGTCCTTTGCTACTGGATGGAACTAAGGCAGATTCAATCCTTCTGGGTACCCTGCTCACTCAGCTAGTCAGAAAAGGATAAATGGCATCCTCTTATTGGTTGACAAGGCAATGCACACCAACCAATGAAAGAATGCTCCTTCCTTTCCAGCCAATCAGAGCTCACCTATCTTCCTGAAAGGAAAGTAGACCCTTTGTCCATAAAGAAAATAAGCAGAAAGTGAATAAAAATTTTTAGAAAAACAACAACTGTTGCTATGGGACATTATTGATGTGATAAATGATAGCGGCCCCAGAGAATTCATAAAGAAAAGCACTGCTTTGGGAAGAAAAGTACAAAAAGCAGACCAGCTGTCTGGTCTCGTCTGAAGGGAAGTTTCTATAGTAACATGTGATAGAAAAGCATTTTAATGTAAATACCCCCAAAACTATCAAATCCATTCATTGAGGGAATTTTTGACCTTTTAAACTTATGCTGAAATTATAATGATTAAACATTTTTATATTAATAATAGATGAAGGAAACGAGGAGAAAAGAAGAGAATAAGAGGAGACGTGTGTTTACTGGTGCAGGCATCACAGATTAAGATATGACAGTTACTGCCTGAAACATGGAGATTTTCTCCATCTCTGCGTTGTCAGCTAATATCTCAGTTTAAAGCAGAGTTCTTTCAGTTGGTGTTTTTCGTTTGTTTTGTTTTGTTTTGGAAAGAGAAAGTTAATGGCTCTTAAACAGACATATTTGAAATGAAATAGTGGACAGGGCACACACTGTTCTGGTAACTTGCTAGCAATTTCCTCCCAAATCATTCTGAGAATGTTACAGCTTCCTTTGGAAAATAATTATAAGTAAAATAATTTCCTACCCAGATGTTTCAGGATAAGGAAAGGCAAGGCAAGGTTGATAGGTGAAAGTGGAGTCAATGTTTCTCAATCAAGGGAAACAAAAAAATCAGAAGATTACAAGCTTTAGGTGCTGTATTTGCTAATTATGAAGGCAATGCTGGGGAGGAATAAAAGAGAAGAGAATCTTGAGAAATCAAATGAGAGTGATGCTAGATTTACTAAGACAGACCCGTTTTCCTCTATCTGTGCCTTCTGTGTGGTCTGTGGGGCAAGGTGAGAAGTGGGGGTAATCCAAAATTCATCCCCCTCTCCCCTGAAGGGAGTGGTTTAGTTAGTCGGGGAGGGAGGACTATCAAACCAGGGAGAAAGCTGCTCTCTACAGTAGACACCCTTGGACAATTTCCTTGTCTCCCTCCTGTTCATGCATGAAGAGCAAATGTGTTTTTCTCATTTTAAGGGGGAAAAAGAGAGGTTGGGGGATAAGAAATCAGCTCCTCCAGTATAAAGGACTAAATGAAAAATATAAAAACCAAAATTGTAAATCCTGGAGAAATGAAGCCAGTGCGGTGGAGTGGGGGAGGGGAGGACTGTAGTGGTGGAAAGGTAAGTTGCTTTGCTGTGCGCCTCGACTTAAAAAAAAAAAATAATCATCTTCCAGGATTTCCCTGGACCCGGCCGTATGTAGGATCAGCCGTATGCAGGATCGGTGTGACTCTCACCTAGCCCGGAAAAGGCAGCGGCTCCCCAGGAGATATTTTAAATAATCAAGGTGCTCAGGGATAATCATCAGTGGCCAAAGCCTCTCCACCCACCGTAACCAAGGCAACAGGAGGCTGGGGCTGCGACTGGTTGCCTGGTAACCATGCTACTGCCCAAGTCCTGTCGGTTCCCTTCCTCCTCCACCTCTGTTAGCCCTTTTGTGATAGGGTCTGTTCCTCTGCGTTCTTTCTCCTTCCTGGCCAAACAATCATCTTTACTCCTCACACAAAGGCTACTTTGGGTAAAAAATGCGTACCTTGATGTTCTTTTTGGACAAATTTCATCCACGCTCGAATGTTGAGACCTAGATAAAATCTTACCTCGGCTTCAATATCTTCCCCCTCCTCCCCACGCTTTCCCTTTCACTCCCTCCTATTAATGCGTCCAGAAAGTGTGGGAAGGAAGGGAAGAAGGAAGGCGGAGAGAGCGAGAGGGAGCGCAGGATTTAGATGCTGCGATTTTTCACTGAACACCGGGGCTGGGATCGCGGTAGATCCTCCGTCCCCGCACGCCCCTTTGCTCACCGCCTGCAAGCGTGTCTCTGCTCCCCGCACCACCGCCTTCCTTTGGCGCCAAGTTTTTCCACTGGTCGTGGCCAGGACAAGATAGAATGCTCTCCCAGAATCCCACACCTAAATCCCTGGAGAAATGAGGAAGGTGAGTCCCACATTCTTCCGCGAACCTGAGTCACCTCCTGATCTCCTCCGCCTGGGGTCTGAGGGGCCGCGAGCGCAAGTGGTCTGGGGTTGGGAAGCTGAGCCGCGCGCAGGCAGGCACCGACCATTGGCACCCTAGGGCCGGGGCGCTGTCCAGCCTCTGGTGCTGAAGCTGAAGGCTCAGATTCGCTGGGGTGGGGGCTCCAGGGACCTTCAGCAGACTGATTCTGAGCCCACTCCAATCGGGTAGCGACTCGAAGTAGAGGCGCTGGGTCCGCCGAGTCGAAAGGCTACACTGGGAAGTAACCGCATTAGACTCACTCTTTCAGCAGATAGGGCTCCCCCAGGGCGCAATCCCCTGCTCTTCTCATTCCCCTCCCTGGAATTATTTGCGGCAATTGTGGTGGGTAGGGAGAAAGGCCCTTTGCACTGGGGCCATTACCCAGTTGTCTTCTGGTACTTTTGACATTTCTTCCTGCGGCTCTGGGCTCTCTGGGTGCTTGCAGGCAGAGTCCCCGGACTCCTGGCGCTCAGATCTGGTGGCGGGCAAAGCAGCGAGAAGAGGCTTGGAACGCGGAACGCGGCTGCTCTTCTGCATGCAACAGGTCAGCTGCATCTAGAATCAGGGGCGAGAAGCGCGGGAGGAGCGGCGGCGGCGGCAGCGGGCTTGGGGCGGCTGGGTTGCGAGAAGCGGCTCCGGCGAGGCTATGGGGCCGTCTTTCTCCTGGGGGGCACGGGACCCAGCGAAACAAACTGCAAGCTGGGTTTCCGCGTCGTCCCGGGCAGGTACTGGAACCGACGCCCCCACACCTCTAGCCTGCCCAGCACCCCGTAGGAGCGCTCACCTGCTGGGCTCCGGAGTCGCCTTTCCTCCTCTTCACTGCACCTTAGGCGGGTGCCAAGCCTGGCCGCCCCGTTCCCCGGCCCTCCAGAGCAGCCTCAGGCTCAGCTTCCCGAATATCAGCTCCAGTCGGCTGCTCCTCCAGGCATGAGCCCTGGACCTGGAGGAGGGAACTGGGCGGGGGACCTTGTCTGAGATTTACCTGCAATGGGTCGCCACGGCTGGGGAGGAAGACCACTTGCTGTCCGCTTCTTTCTGGAAGAAAGCCCCTCACCACCCAGCTGCCGGCACTTTGCGTCCCCCCAACAGCCGCAGAGCAAGCTGCAGCGCAGTGGGGCGGGGAGGGCTGGGGTTTGAGGAAGCTGTTTGTAAAGTGCCCCTGGAATACTCGCCTCTCTGGTGCCATCAGTCCTGTCCCGGTCCGTAGTCCTGGTGTGGCCCTCCGGGTGCAAACCGTCGCCGCTGCTGCCGGGCCAGGGAAGAACAGCTGCTTTAAAGCTGAGACCAACCGACGGATGGCCTGTCAGGGCCACGGATGTTCATGACGTCATCCTGAAGGCGAGCGGAGAAAGCGAGCAAAGGGGGGGCCGCCGCGCTTCTCATCAAATGTCCCCTGTGGCCATGGCAACGGCTTGTGGGGAGGGGGTGCCGGTCGGCGGGCCAGCAGCGGGCAGCCTGCTACTCCTGCCGGGGTCCGGCGCTCCGCTGGGGTAGGGTCGGACATTAGTGCTGAATCCAGTTGTGCCCGGACCAGACGAGGCACCAGAGCCAGTCCCGTCCACTGCTGGGGCTCGTCACAGCGGGCGGGCGGCTGCCTGGTCCCAGGGAGGAGACGGGGGAGACTACAGGCTTCCGGAGGGCAATTAGCAGAAACCTTCATTTTCACAGGGCCGTTTCCTATTCTCCCACCACCCCACCAGGGCTGGGCAGACCTGGTTAACCTGGCCGCTCTTAGACTTGTTCTCGCCGCTCTCGACCCACGCGTGCTGGAGCAGAGCACACCCAGGCAGCGCCCGCGCAGGACCCACCCACCTGCCCTGGTCCTCGCCGGCATGCACGACCAACCGAGCTTCAAAGCTGCCGTTAGAGCTTCAGAAAATGACAAACCCACCACGGATCCAGCGCGCATCTAGGGGACGCAAACTGGTGACCAGCGAACCAGACAGAACACAAAAATGTTTGCGAGGCTCCCCGCACAGTATTTTAAAATGTTGAAGTATTTGTCAAAAAGATTGGAAGAGTTCACACAGGACTCTGGATTTTCCAGCTCTCCTCTCCTCTAAAGCAATATCCCTGTCATTGCCATGGCATTGCCATGGCATTGCCATGTCTCTTGAATAAGCGCTTGCTGGCATTCTGCAGGTAGGCAGAAGCTCTGACTAGTGAACGTGTGGCTGGAGTCCAGGCAAAAGTAGGCCCTCTTCTCCTTTTCGTCAATATTCACCAAGCCTATTTGTCATCAGTCTTATCCTTTGACTTCTTTTTTTTTTTTTCCTATAGTATAAAATGTGGCCAAGAGCAGTGGTTCACACCTGTAATCCCAGCACTTTGGGAGGTGGAGGTGGGAAGATCACTTGAGCCCAGGAGTTCGAGACCAGCCTGGGCAGCACAGTAAAATCCCGTCTCAAAAAAAAAAAGAAAAGAGGAAAGCAAAATTGTTTTTTGTCACCACCTTACCTGCTCACTTCATCATTGTTACCTGTGAGGTCCTGTAAGCATGTGAGTTTGCTACCCCTTGTTCCCGCAATTGCTCTGTTGAATGGGAGCTGGCAATGGCTTCACTCAGCCTGCAATGCTTGCTTCTTTTCCGGCTGGTGCCCTGCAGGCCCCACCCTGGAGACTCACAAATATCTGTGCTGCTCACATCCAGCCAACACAGGCAGCAGGGCATTTCCTCCTATTTAGGCTGGAGGATTGTTGCTTTTGTTTGTTTGTTTGTTGTTTTTCATTTTCACATTTCAAAATATGCAGGTATTTGGGAAACATTTTTTAAAATCATATTTTTCGTTTATCACTCAGATATTTGATCGCGTTAAACACTCTTTACATTTTTTAATGTAAGGAATGATATCTTAATCACAAATACATGGAAAAATAGAAGAAAACATTTTAATTACTCTCAGACTCACCCATCGTTATGTAAACTAACACTGTTTTACATTTTCTGATTGGCAGTCTGAAAACAGCTGCAAATACACTCTGTGAACACCAGGAGCCAGCCAACATACAAGTGAAAAGCACCACCAACAGGGTCTAATTGTATCTCATGCACACTCTCTCACACAGTCACACCTACCAGGACAGTCATTAAACGTGCGTTTTGAATATCGTGCATGCAACAATGTGGAAGGGGGCTTATCTTCTTTCTCCATTACCAGTAGACGTCGCTCTAAGGAAAAACAGGCTCTTATTCATATACACTTGCTCTCTTAACCAAGTGTCTGAGGAATTTTTGTTGAAAGCAAAGGCGACTTTGTACTAGATCAACCCCAAATCTTGGCCAACGTGGATTGTTTTTAGCCTATTGGGAAAAATTAGTGCAGAGAAAAGATTCTGCATTTATCTCTTGGCAAAAAAGCTGTTCGGTCTTTGGCCTGACTGGCCCCTTAACTCAGGACATTCTTCTTGCAACCATTTCATTTGTGAGTCTTAGAGCTCTAGGCTATATTAATGCTCCATTCATTATCTTTGTAAAGCACTTTTAATTTTTCACTGAGTATTTTACATGATGTATCTTGCTTGATTCTAGAAGCTGCCCATTTTATAGATAAAGAAGCCGAGCTCAGACTGTTTAATTCACTTGAGTTCCCAGTGTTCCTTCTGCTAGAAAGACCCACTGTCTCCCTTACATGAGTCATCAAAATTATGTGTTAAATGGTTAAGAGAGCTAGTTGGGTGTGGTGGTACTCATCTGTAGTCTCGGCTACTCAGGAGGCTGAGGTGAGAGGATCACTTGGGCCCAGAAGCTCAAGGCTGTAGTGAGCTATGATCGCGCCACTGCACTCCAGCCTGGGCAACAAAGAACTTCTTTCAAAAAGAAAAAAATTCCAAAACAACAAATAAATAAAGAGTTTGGGGCCGGGCGCGGTGGCTCACGCCTGTAATCCCAGCACTTTGGGAGGCCGAGGCGGGTGGATCACGAGGTCAAGAGATCGAGACCATCCCGGTCAACATGGTGAAACCCCGTC